TCTTCCCAGTGCCCCCCAACCCCATTCCCCTGCCAGCCCCACAGCCCCAGCCCGCGACACAAAGTTCAGAGGTGACACAGGACTGAGAAATGACACGGGACTGAGGGTCACAATCCTTATTTTCCCCTATTTTCCATCCCCGGGGATCCCCTGCTCCCCCCTCCCCCTGTCCTGGACTCCAGCCCTGACCCCAGATGGATCCCCCGGTGTGGGGGTGGATGATGCTTCCCCCAAAGAACCAAGAACCACCAGAATTTATTCTACTTTTACCCAGATTTCAATGTTACTGCAGCAACCCAAGGGTATCTTTGCATTTTAATATAACTTTTATTGGACTTAACCCACATTAACACCAGATCCTGGTGCTTGAGTCCTCCTGCTCCCCAAAATCCAGATGTCCCCATAAATTCCTCCAAGCTCCCACTGGATTTTTTCATTTTTATTTTCCCAAATTTTGTGAATCCAAAGCTTCTCCTCAATACTGTTTTTTCCCTCTTTTTCCTTAATAATAATGCTGTATTTAAGGGGAACATGTCAGTGCAAAAAAAAAAAAAACCCAAATGGTTAAATTAGATGTGAGTTGTGGCTGAAAAGGGACAAATTCCTCAAGGGGGGCTCTGAAATTCTGAAATCCACAAAACCCAGCAGGAAGTGCTAAGGAAGGCAGTGGCTCCTACTCCTCTATACCCCAAATAGGCTTCAAAAGGGAAACTTTCCAGGTGTCCCCATGCCCTGTGTCCCCTTGTGGGGACACTGGAGCCACCAATTCCTTTGGGCTTTAACAAACCACTCAAGTTTGGAGTAAATTCACTTTGCCAGCAGGAATTCCTTGTGCAGGTTAGGGCAGGGGGGAGGTTTAACCCCAAAAGTCTCTGAAGTGGGAAAAGTCTAAAAAAAAAAAAAACTCCCAACGAGGCTGAATTTTGGGGGTGCAGTGCTGGGACCCCCCACTCTACCCTTCCCACCCCTGGAGTGAGCAGTGGCACCCCCAGCCCAGCCCAGCCCCCTCCTGCTCCCCCAAACCCCGCAGGGATCTGGGGGGAACTCGAGGCTGCTCCTCAACCCCTGAGGGCAGGGTGTGACATTTAAGACTGTTCAGCAGAGAAAACAAAGGAAAAACCTCCAGCAAGGAGTCACAAACCCCATGGGAAGCATCCAGCAGATCCCACAGGAACATCCCCAGGGCAGGGAGCTGCTCACTCTCTCCCGTAATTAACAAGATGCAGTTAATTACTGCAACAATGAAACCACCTCTCCCGGCTGTGCTCAGCCTCACCCCGAGCACTCTGCGGGCTCCCAAGCAAAGAACAGCCAGCTCAGCTCAGCTCAGCTCAGCTCAGCTGGGATTTTGGCAGCACCAGGCTGGGAATCACCAGGTTGGGCACGAGGCTGAGGTGAGGGACACGCAGCTGCCACCCCCCGATCCACCAGGGCTCCAGCAGGGACACGGGTGTCACTCTGGGGGCTGGCTGTAGTTGAGGGACAGCAGGACCATGCTGTGGGCCAGCAGCGAGGCTTCAGAAGCTGCAAAGAGCACAGGAGCAGGGTGAGAGACTGGGACAGGCACTGGGAGAACTGGGGTGGGGTGGGAGTGGCACTGGGGATACTGGGATGGGATAGGAGTGGCACTGGGGGGCACTGAGAGCTGGAGTGGGCACTGGGTAGACTGGGAGTCCTGTACTGGGCACAGGGGGGGTTCTGCGGGGACTGGGCAGCACTGGGATAGGAATTTGACAGACTGGGAACACTGGGAAGAGTGTGAGGGGAGCTCCTGGTCCCACATTTCCACCCCACTCCTGTTTTCCTTTCCTCGGGGCTGCAGGCAGGGGGCTGCAGGATGGACACCTGGGCACAGGTGTGTGGGGGGGTGAGCCTGGATGGGGACAAAGTCACCCCAAAATTCCCCAGGAGTGACACTCCCTGTGCCCAGAGAAGGGTTTTGTACCTTGGAGCTCACAGGAGAGCCTGAGCCACTGCTCCAGCCACGCTCTGCACTTGGCCTGGCCCAGGTGAGTGGAGTTGAGCCCACGCAGGTAACAGGCCTGGGGAGCCACAGACAGACACACGGACAGACAGACACACAGACACAGTCAGGGATGGGCACACACGACTCCAGCATCACACCAGCATCCCCCTCCAGGAGGGGAAGGGAAGTGAGGAACTGCTCCCCATCCCAGGTGTGACCCCAGACTGCAAAACACTTCCCCAAGGCAGAACAAGCTCGTGCCCCAAGGCCATGCTGGTGACACCTGAGGTGCCACATGGCCAGGCCAGGTGTGCTGAGGTGTCCTCACCGCTCTGAGCTCCTCCTCAGAGAGCTGCCCCAGCCCCAGGTGCAGCAGGGCACGGTCCAGGTGCTGGATCTCCAGGACGTGGCTCCGCAGGCGGTGCCGCAGCAGGAAGGCCGGCAGGTACGGGGTGAGGAACAGCACCTGGCTCAAGGCCCTCTGTGGAGGACAAGGAGGGAAGGAGCTCAAAGGAGGGACTCCTTAAAATGTTTATTGTATCCAGATGATACAGCAATTTATTTATGTCTTGGGTTGCAATACAGGATGTGACCAAAAGTGTGAATTCTGTCACCATCTGTTAAACCAGCTGGGGCAGCGATCCTGATCTCTGTGGGGAATATCTGCTGTTGATGGGCCAGGTGTTAAAATCAGGTGTTGCAGTGTTCTTTATCTTGCCCACAGCCCATCCTCCCTCCAGGAGATCTCTCCTGTTCATGGCCATGCAGTCCCAGGGCAGGGCTGATCAAATTCCATCATCCCATTGGGAGATGCTCCAGCCAGGGGCAGGAGCCAAGAATTTCCTACCCAGATCAAAGCTGAGATTTGGAACATCAGAGCAGCCTTTTCCCACTGGATCCCAGAGGAAAACCAGAGCCTTCCACATCATCACTGGGAAAACTGCACCTTGTGCAGGAGCCCTGCTCCAGCAGAACCACATCTGTCACTGCAGGAGGATGCAGCCACCATGGAATGGGACTGCACCAACCCTGCCTGACTGACGGGGGCACCTTGGATTCTCCCTCTGCCCCTGCTCTGGGTTTGTTCTCTGCAATACTGCATTGCTATTTTAATTTTCCTGGTAAAGAACTGTTATTCCTATTCCCATATCTTTGCCTGAGAGCCCCTTAATTTCAAAATTATAATTTGGAAGGAGGGGGTTTACATTCTCCGTTTTAAAAAAAAGAGGCTCCTGCCTTTCTTAGCAGACACCTGTCTTTCAAACCAAGACAATTTATTATTTAAAATGCTGTTTATTGTACCCAAATGCAGCAGTTCAGGGGTTGTGGGTGGCAGAGCCCAGCTCACAGCCTGTCAGCCTCAGCTCTGGGTTTGTCTGAAGCCAACTCTAGTTCTGGTTACAATGCATTATAGACTTTTCATTGCAGAGCATCTTAAAACATGACAACCAACCAATACCTTTACTGTTACCTACAGCCTATCATGACTACTAACATTACCATATTTATGTTAATATTTTCCAATCACAGAAAGTTAGCATGTTACAGTTTAAGCTAGAATTGTTTTTTCAGTTTTCTTGCAATGAAAAATTTTGAGATCTTTACTTGCAACACTGGCTTTCTTGTTTGTGAAAATTTTTTTGCTTGGTAAAAACATCTTCTGTTTGAGGTGAATTTATCCTTTGCTCTGAGTCATAAAAACCCCTTGTACCTTACTTTACCCTTTGGCTTCTTAGTTATCCAGCAAGACTGGCTCAGCAATTCTTTAATTCTCTATCAAAACTTGCCATCATTTCTATTCCTTCTTCAGATTCTACATTCAAAGCTCTTTCTGTTACACACACACCTGTGAGACCTTCCTGTCAAAGCCCTGTCCTTCCCCACAAAGGAGGGCACCTGTGACACTTCCAACCCCTCCTAGAACAGGGCTGGGACTCTCTCAGGCACTTCCACCTGCCCACGTGGCTCCAAGCCCCATCCAACCTGGCCTTGAACACTTCCAGGGATGGGGAAATCCCTCCCACTGCCTTCCCACGTCACAGGGAGGAATTCCTTCCCCAGATCCTCCTCTGGATTCATTCCCAGCAGCTCCACACCCTTCTAATGTTGGGGGGCCCCAGAGCTGGAGGCAGCAGTGCAGGTGAGGTCTCACCTGAGCCCCCTGAGCTGCTGCCACAGTGTGGGGATGAGCCCAGGGCATCCCTGCTGGTTTTCACCTGCACCTGGTCTGGGTTTGGGCCACACCTGAGTGTGTCACACCTGGGCTGAGCTGAACTCACCACGTGATCCACCCGGAGCCTGTTGAGTGCCAGCACAGAGCCAGAGAACAAACTCCTCACAGCCAGGAGCTGGGCCAGGTGGGGTTGGGCACCCCCCTGCACCTGAAAGAGCCCCGAGAGCACAGGTGACACCTCTGGGAGGGGACAGCACCTCCCCCAGCCCCCAGGGGTGATGGTGGGGGCACAGAGCTGGGCACAGAACCGAGGGTGGTGGGGGCACACACCTGGGCACAGAGCTGAGGGGGGCTGCTGGGGGCACACACCTGGGCACAGAGCTGAGGGAGGGTGGTGGGGGCACACACCTGGGCACAGAGCTGGGGGAGGACATTGGGGGCACACACCTGGGCACAGAGCTGGGGAAGGATAGTGGGGGCACACACCTGGGCACAGAGCTGGGGGAGGACAGTGGGGGCACACACCTGGGCACAGAGCTGGGGGAGGACAGTGGGGGCACACACCTGGGCACAGAGCTGAGGGGGACTACTGGGGGCACACACCTGGGCACAGAGCTGGGCACAGAGCTGAGGGGGGCTGCTGGGGGCACACACCTGGGCACAGAGCTGGGCACAGAGCTGAGGGGGGCTGCTGGGGGCACACACCTGGGCACAGAGCTGCTGCAGGAGCTCTCGGGGCTGGGGCTCAGGCAGGGACCCCGCTGCCCGTGCCAGGCCCCGCAGCACGTCCGGGTACACGTCCCTGCGCGCGCGGCCGTAGGCGTCCAGGAACTCCTGCTGCTGCTTGGGCGTCCAGAAGTAACGGATCAGGAGCTGCCGGGGGAAGAAATACCTGGGGAAAGGCAGGGCAGGGGATTCATGGCAGGGCAGGGGCTTCCAGGCTGTGGGATGAGCCCGAGGGAAGCTGGGGCAGCACGGTTTAACCCAGGAGCTGAGGGTGTTCATTCCCAAAGAATCATGGAATTGTTAAGGTTGGAAAAGGCTGAGGTCACCAGCACTGCCAAGGCCACACTGACCATGTCCCCAAGTGCCACATCCACACAGCTGTGAAATCCCCCCAGGCATGGGGACCCTCCCCTGCCCTGGCAGCTGTGCCAAGACAGGACTACCTTTCCCATGAGGAATTCTCCCTAAAATCCAACCCAAACCTCCCCTCCACGCTCTTTCCTCTGGTCCTGTTCCCTGGGAGCAGAGCCTGACCCTCACCTGGCTGCCCCCTCCTGTCAGGGAGTTGTGGACACCAAGGAGGTCCCTCCTGAGCCCCCTCAGCCTCTCCTGGTGCTCCAGCCCCTTCCCCAGCCCCATTCCCAGCTCCAGCCCCTCCCTGGCCTGCACTGGGGACCAAAACTGACCCCAGCATCCAGGCTGGGCCCTCAGCCGTGCCAGGATAGTGGCATGGGCACTGCCCTGTCCCAGTGGCCATGCCGTGGCTCACACAAGCCACGTGCCTGTGGCCTCCTTGCCCACCTGAGCTCATGCCCACCCCCCCAGCTCCTTTCCTGCTGCTCTGGCCCCGGCCTGGAGCATTCCATGGGGCCATGGTGAGCCAAGGGCAGCACCTGGCACTTGGCCTGGTCAATCCTCACCCCCTCAGCCTCATCCCCTCCATCTCACAGATCCAGACAGATCAGGGGGGACCTGTCCTCCAGCAGGTCTGCATTCCTCACATCCCCTCTGAGCTGAGATCACAGGTAAGGACATTACCTGAGTGAGAGGGTGGGACAGCAGAACTGCAAAATCCCAGGAGTTTTGATTTTATTATTAATATTGTGTATCAATATTTTATTAATATTATTTGATTATTATATTAAGTAAAAACATTATTATTTATTTTACTAAATTATTTTAATTGATTCTACCATTTCTCTGGGTGGGACGCCAGTGCTGGGATTGCCAATCCAGCCCTCAGCTCCTCAAGACTCAGTTTGTCCTTACAGTGAGAGATTCCTGCCTCTAGAAACCCCACAATTTGGGAATCAGGCACCCCAAGGATGGGGACAGCCCGGTACTCACATCAGGACAATGACCAGGAAGTTGGCGAAGGGGGGGATGGCGATGATCCCGATGGGAATGGCCTTGAGCACATCCCTGCGGAACTGCCTCCAGCAGGAGGGAACACAGTCAGCACCTGGCACCCAAAACTCCCCAAAATCCCCCAGCCCCGTGCTGGCTGCAGCTCCCAATCCCTGTTTTTAGGCAAGGAACACCCACAGAGGATTTCCAGGATTTCCAGCCCCTCCCTGGCGCAGCACGGGGCTCACCTGGCACAGCTGCTCCATCTCCTGGTATAGGAGCACCTGACACCCAAAACTCCCCAAAATCCCCCAGTCCCCGTGCTGGCTGCAGCTCCCAATCCCTGTTTTCAGGCAGGGAACACCCACAGAGGATTTCCAGCCCCTCCCTGGCGCAGCCCAGGGCTCACCTGGCGCAGCCGCTCCATCTCCCGGTACGGGAGCTGCTGTGTGCTCAGCTGCTGCTGGGACATCTTGGATTTGATCTTCCTGATCTCCTTTGCCTCCAGGAAGAGTGCCTGGATTCCTGCAGGGACAGAGCTCCCTCAGGTGCTGATCCCCTCTAAGCAGGGACAGGTAGGGCAGCCACTGCCCCCATTCCAACATGTGTCCTTCCAAGAGCCACCTGCTGGGATCTCCAGTTTGGGACCCAAATGTTTGGACTCCCCCATCACCACCCCCTTTTCAGGATCCACCTCTTGGGATATCCCTTTTTGGAACACCCCACCCTCTCTCAGACCCACTTTTTTACCCCCTCTTTCAGCAGCCACTTTTTAGGACCTCCCACTCGGGACTCACCAGTTTTGAAGGTGCTGTAGAGCACGTAGAACCTGGGGAAGCTCCTCTCCAGGTACTGCTCGTACCTGGCGCTGACCCGCCGGGCTGCAGAGGCCACGGCGGCCACGAGGGCGCGGGAGGTGGCGCGGGAGGAGAGAGAGCGCACCTGGGACCTGCGCAGCTGGGAACACACCTGGGACCTGCGCCCCCACCCCCACGTCAGCCATGGCCGCGTTTGAGGCTCCCAACGACCCCGGAGAGTGAAGTACGGGAGCTGGGACCACCCCGGGCTAGGGCTGGGAATCGGGGTCTGGAGGGATTGAGGAGCCTCGGCTCATTCCAGAATTCCCGTGCCGGGCACTGCGGGGCGCGGGAAGGGAAATGGGGAGGGCGGAAAGGCGTGGCACCGGAGCAGGGAACAGCACCGTGGTAATGGAAAGGTTGCGCAATAACGGGGGGCACCAAGGGCTGGGGAACGGTGAGGGGGACACGGGCGGTAACCGGAGAGGACGAGGGGGACAAGGGGAGGGGTATTTGGTGAGGGATCACGGTGTGGTCCGTATTTAGCGAGGGCTGCCGTTGGTATTGGGAGGGGCTGGGGCTACGCTCGGTGTTTGGGGGGGCCAGGCCTGCGTCGGGAGTGGCTCTCACTGAGAGGGGCCGGTGCCAAGGGACATGGCTGCCCTGCAGGGGCCCCCACTCACCTGGGCACACCCAGAACGAGTTGTGGCTGCATCCGCCCCCGAGGGGGGCTCAGGGCGACAGGGCCGAGACGCCAGAGCCCCCCTCGGGCTGCGGCCCTGGACAGCGCCATCTTGGCGGGTCACAGGGTGGCGATCACGTGAGGCTGTGAGCGCTGATTGGCTGCCGTGCCGGAAGTGCCCGTGCTGGGGGCTCCGGGTCCGGCCCGAGCCCCCCGCTTTCCGTTCCCCCCGGCAGTCCGGCCCTCCCCAGCCCAGCCGGGTCCGGCCGCGCGTTCGGCCCGGCTCGGTCCCGGCGGTTCTGCGCTGGGGCCGTCAGTGACCGGGACCCTCCTCCCGCTTCACTGGGGTTTAACCCTTTCCCAGCCCTCAGGAGGCCGTGCGGGAGCTGCCGCTGCCCCCTCACTGTCCCCAGGCATGCGGGCCCCCAAACGTCCCGGCCCCTCCGCCCCATCCCGGGGCACCGGGCAGGCCCCTCCGTCTGTCCCGCCTTCCCTTCCCCGGGCGGCCCAACCGGTTGTGCTCGCAGCCCCGAGGCCCCACGTGGGCCGTGTTTGTTTTCCTCATTCCAGGTGCCGGAACAAACACAGTCCAAGGATTTTCGGGAACCACCTGCCCGTGGGGAGCACCTGCCGCTCCTCAGCCATTCCCGGAACCAGGTGCCATTCCCAGATCCCAGCCAGTCCCGGGGAGCCCCGGGAATGCTTTGCCCACCTTGCAGCCCCCCGGGACGTGGCACGGGTCACGCAGTGCCGTGCCCTGCTCACCTGTGTGCAGGTGCTGCTCACTCAGCTCTTTATTTATCGGCAGCCGCTGCCGAGGGGTTATCGCGATAAAGCCGGGGCGATAGCCCGGGACGGTCCCCGCCGCACGTACCGGGGCTGCCCGAGCAGAGTCCGGCCCGCGGATCAGCGGAGCCGCCGGAGCTCCACCAGCCGCGGCCCGTGGGGCAGCATCAAAGAGCTTTAATTGGGAGTTAATTAACGATTGGGAGATGCCGCAACCTCTGAGGTTCCTCTGGAACTCTGCTCTGGGCGGAGGGAGGGGACAGCCCTTAAATAGGGAGGGGTCACCCTTGGGAGCGAGTGGGACACTGCGCCGGGAGCAGAGAGTGCTGCAGGAGCCATGCCCACCAAACGCGTCCCTGCCTGCGAGCTGAGTGAGTACCCGACCACCCCTGGGAGCTGGTATTGCCCCCAGCCCAAAACACCTGGGATTTGGGGAATTTGGGCAGTTTCCCAGCTCCAGGCTGCTTGTGGGGTCAGTCACACCCGGGTACAGGTGGGGAGGAGTGGTGGAGTCTCCCACCTCCTGGATTTCTCCTCATTTAGCAACACCAGGCTGCTCCTGGCCAGTGCTGCATCCCATTCCCAGTTAAATCCCTAGGTTTGGCCCTCAGGAAGGGAGTGGTTGAAAAAATTATCTCAAGGGAATGCACAGAGGAGGAATTCAGTGAGGGAGCAGCGTTTCTCTCCGGAAAAACCAGTAACAAACCAAACATAGCGCCTGCCAGGAAGCTCGGGGAGAAATTGGGGGTTTGGGCATGAAAAGTGGAGCCAGAGCAGGCAAGGTCCCAGCAGAGTTCCAGGACTCCCAGTGGATCTGTATTTTGGGGTGGAATGAGATGCTGTGGGGAAAAGCTTGGAGTGGGAGCAGGGCGAGGAAGGATCAGAGTCACGGAATCTCCTGAGCTGGAAGGGACCTAGGAGGATAATCCAGCCCAGCTCCTGGCCCTGCACAGACACCCCAAAATCCCACCCTTTGCACCCCTGGCAGCGCTGTCCAAACATTCCTGGAGCTCTCAGGGCTGTGCCCGTTCCCTGCGGAGCCTGGGCAGTGCCCAGCACCCTCTGAGGGAAGAACCTTCCCCTGATACCCATCCTAAACCCACCTGGCACAGCTCCAGCCCTTCCCTTGGGTGTGCCCCCACCCACCACGGGGGTCCGGGGACCCTCCTGAGCCTCACTGGGGCTCACCCCCCCCTGCTGGGGTCTGCACTGGGGTCCGTGTCCCCTGCACTGAGGGACTGTGACCCCAAACTGGGACTTGGGGTCCCAAACTGGGACTTGGGGTCCCATCTGCCGTCCTGGGGCCACGCTGGAGCTCAGCCCCCCCCCGGGGTTGTGTCCCCAACCTCAAGATCCACATTTGGGCTCGGGCCCCACCCGGGGGTGCCTTGCGGACCCCTCGCAGCCGCACAGCGGGGTCGGGTCCCCTGCTGGGCTCCCGGAGCTGTGCCCGGTGCCGCCCCCGGCCCGCCCCGTGACGCGCTCGGTGCGCCGGGAGCGGCTCGGGCCGGGCATGCGGCGGCGGCGGCGGCGGGGCCGGGGGCGGCCGGGGCCGGTGAGCGATGGTGGCGGGGGGGAAACACCGGGACCGAACCGAACCGGACCCTCCGCGCTGTCCCGGGGTGTTCCCGGCTGTGCTGCGGGGGGATCCAACCCTGGGGGTGCCCGGGTGTTTCGGGGGGGCTCCTGCTGTGGGGGTGCCCTGGATGTGCTGCGGGACCCCTGGGGTGGGTGGGGGGCGTGGAGCCGCTGCTCGCCCCCCCCCGGTAATGCCCGCACCCCCCCGCTGGGGCTCGGGGTCCCCCGGTGACCTTGGGGTGTCCGGGGACGTCCCAGCCGCCCACCGGGGGGGTGGTGGCACCGAGTCTGACCCTCTGCCCTCCCGCGGGGTTTGGGGGTCCCGCAGCCTCGCCCCTCGGGCTGGGGCTCTGTGTGGGGCCCCTCGGAGCTCGTCCTGCCCGGGAGGAGATCCTCGCACAGGTGCCCGTGTGTGTCCCCGTGTCCCCCGAACAGGTGCCCCTGTCCCGGTGTCCCCTCACAGGTGCTCAGGTCCCCGCACAGGTGCCCACGGTGTCCCCCTGTCCCCGCACAGGTGCCCCTGTCCCTCTGTCCCCGCTCTCGCCTCCTCTTCCTCCCTGGCGGATCCCGGGGGTGAGGATGAGTCCCCAGAGGCCCTGGAGTGGCTCCGGGAATGTCGCTGTGGCCTGGCAGGGCTCCGCGCTCCCGGCTGGCCCCGGTCAAGGTCCACACGTGGCGGCGGTGCCGGGGCTCAGAGCGGGCTCCGGTCCCGGTGCCGGGGCTGTGAGAGCAGCGCAGGAGGGGTGGGAGAGCGGTGAGCAGGCAGCCATGGGATAACGGCTCTGGGTTCTGTGGGTTGGGTTTGATTCATTCCGGGGAGTCTCGGGTGTGCAGCCGCCCCGTCCCACGCTGGGAACAATGGGGTAATGAGGCCAGCTCCAAAATCTGGGATCTGCAGCAGGCTGGGAGGAGAGCTGCTCCTCCCTGCCCTGTGCTGGTTGTTTCGGGGTGTGGAAGTAACCAGGTCATCTTCCATGTGTCTCGGACAGCACACCTGGGGAGCAGGGCAGGCTCGGCTCCCTGTGCCCTCCTGAACGCAGGGCATTCCCAATCCAGAGTGTGGGATGGGATGAGGGACGGGCAGGGACCGGCCCGGTCTGACCTGCTCAGGGTGGGCACACCTGTCCTGGTGTGACAGGAGCCGAGGCCAGCCCTGCCTTTGTCCTCTGTGTCCTTGGCAGGAATGGGGCAGAGCAAGGAGGGATGGATCCCATAGGGAGAGATCTCACAGGGGTGGATCCTGCATAGATGGATCCTACAGGGGTAATCCCAAAGGAATGGATCCTACCGGGAGGAATCCCACAGGGATTGATCCAGCAGGAATGGATCCCCCTGGGATGATCCTGGAGGGAGGGAGGGATCCCACAGGGGTGGATCCCACAGGTCGCCAGCCTGCAGGGTGTCTGTGAGTGGAGCAGAACAAGATGTCAGCCCCAAAACCACGTCAGAAGGATCCCTCAGGATCCTGTCTGCCCCACAGGAGCCAGCCCAGCCCAAAGCCCCACATCAAAGGCAGGACCTCAATGGCAGGAACCGCTCCCAGCACGGGGCCAGGCTGCTCCCGTGTCCTTCGGGGAGGAGCAGGAGCAGGATGAGCCCAGGGCTGTTGGAAGGACCCGTGGGACAGCGGGGTTTGGTGGGGGTGGAACAAAAACCCCATTGTTCATTGTTGGCTGCACACGTGGGGACAGCACACCCGTGTCCGGCAGTGACCTCGTGGTGTCCTGCTCGGGGCTGGTTCTGTTCCAGGAAATGCTGTCCTGGGAAGGGGCCCGGGGTGATGCCAGGCTCGGCCCTGGGGGTTTGGGCCTGCTGAGCCCACACCCGGTGTCAGGGAAGCTGCTGGGTGGGGAAGAGCCTGGGGCTGGATCTGTGGGATTGAGGGGGTGAGGATTGACCAGGCCAAGTGCCAGGTGCTGCCCTTGGCTCACCATGGCCCCATGGAATGCTCCAGGCCGGGGCCAGAGCAGCAGGAAAGGAGCTGGGGGGGTGGGCATGAGCTCAGGTGGGCAAGGAGGCCACAGGCACGTGGCTTGTGTGAGCCACGGCGTGGCCACTGGGACAGGGCAGTGCCCGTGCCACTGTCCTGGCACGGCTGAGGGCCCAGCCTGAACGCTGGGGTCAGTTTTGGTCCCCAGTGCAGGCCAGGGAGGGGCTGGAGCTGGGAATGGGGCTGGGGAAGGGGCTGGAGCACCAGGAGAGGCTGAGGGGGCTCAGGAGGGACCTCCTTGGTGTCCACAACTCCCTGACAGGAGGGGGCAGCCAGGTGAGGGTCAGGCTCTGCTCCCAGGTGACAAGATGAGACAAAAAGTTTTCCTGGGGAGGTTTGGGTTGGATTTTAGGGAGAATTCCTCATGGAAAAGGCTGCCCACGTGCCTTATGTGTGCTCACAGGGTCTCCTGTGGGTGGGTGATTTAGGGACACCCTCCCTGAGCCGGGTGTGGGTCCAGCCCCCAGCCCAGCAGCTGCTGGGGCAGATAAGGGGCCCTGGGTGCCCCCCACCCAGCCTGGGCTCAGATACTGAGCTGGTTCCACAACGAACATTCCCCCCAAAATCACCCTGCTCGCTTCACCCTGGAGTGAAGCTCTGCTGGGACTCGCTGCTGGGGTAAGGTCATTCCTCCTGCATCCCCTTTTGGGGAAATTTGGCTTTTGGCTAAACTTTAGTGGTGTTTTTATTTTAATGGAAGCTGTGAGGTTTGGTGCATAGAAAAGAAGGAAAATTATGTGTGAGAGGTCAGAGCTGGAGTTCACTTAAACTGAATCCCTGGCTGATGATTTCCTCTTACACCCTCGCTGAACCAATATTCCCTTGTTTTATGGAAATCCGCCCTTCAAATCTGATGGAATTTGACAGAGGATTAGGAGCTTTACAGGCCAGAAGTTATCACTGAGGGGTGTTGGCTTGTCCTTGGGAGGGGTTTGAGTTTCTGGAGCCCAGAGAATTCCCGTTTATCCCCGGTTCCCTCCCCAGCCCCATTCCAGATCCTGGCTCATTCCTGCGTGGGTTGAGTTCAAACCCAGACTGTGATGAAGGAGTTAAACCTGCCCTAAACCCACTTCCCACTGCCTGGGGGGTGCTGGAGGGGTTTAGGGGCACTGGGAGGATTTGGGAGTGCTGGAGGTGCTGGGAAGGGGGGGGTGGGATGTGGTTTCCCCATCGAGGGAATTCCCCGCTCGTTTCCCTGGCTGGAGTTTCACAATCGGCTCCTGTGGTCACTCCTGCCACGTCGGTGCCTCCCTGGGCAGAGCAGGGCTCTGTCTCAGCAGATCCCAGCCTAAATTCCCTCTGTGCTGAGACCCTCAGAGCTCAGGATGTGAATCCATCACTGTGAGGTTTCTCAGAGCTGAAAAAGAGTCTGGGGAGTGAATCTGTCTCTACCCCCACTCTGATTTTCCATCCTGACGGGATTTTTCCCTTTTCCACAGCCAATGTGTCCAGTGTGAAGCAGCTCCCAGAGCAGGGGAAGGGCTCAGACATGGACAGAAAAGGATCCTATGGTGAGACTGGGTCAGGAGAGGGGGGCTGCCCTCACCACCTTCATCCTCTCCTTAATTCCCTGTTTGGGGTGCTGGGAAGAGCCCTGGGGTGCCAAGTTGAGCCCTGCAGGAGGTTTGCTGCACCCTGGGGTCACTGAGCCTGGCTGAACCAGCCAAACCAGCCTGGCCCAGGAATGTCCTGGGAGAAATCTCCTGAGCAGGGATCTCTGCACACCTGGACAGCCCCAAATCCCAAATCCGGGTTATGAAACGAGGCCCTGGCAGGGTTCTGGGAGGCCGGGAAAAGGAGGAGCCTTTGATGATGCAATAGGAACTTGGGCAAAGAGCTGCCCTGAGCCAGCCCTGTGAGCTCAGAGAGCTCCGAGTGCTCCGGGGAGGGAAATGCCCCGTGGGGAGAGCAGGAGTGAGTGTGGGATTGTGTGGGATTGTGTGGGATTGTATGGGTACTGGGAGTGAGTGTGGGGTTGTGTGGGATTGGGAGAGAAAAAGGGGTTGTGTGGGATTGTGTGGGACTGGAAGTGAGTGTGGAATTGTGTGGGGTTGTATGGGATTGGGAGAAAGTGTGAGATTGGGAGTGAGTGAGGATGGGATTGTGTGGGATTGGGAGAGGGTATGGGATGGAGATTTTGCTGGAGGTGTTGGAAGGAGGGTGGGGATGTGGGAATGTGCTGGGGTGACCCCACTCACGTTTGAAACTCCTGGAGTTGTCTCAGTGCTGGCTCTCCTGGGGGAGCTGGTGCTGTCCCCAGCTGTGTGCTGCCTGTCCCCAGATGTTGGATTTCCCTGGGATCCAGCCAGGACAGTGTGGGATCATGGTGCAGGAGCAATCCCAGATTTCCCTGGGATCTCATCCAGCCCCATGAGAATCATTTTGGGGACGCTGGTGCTGCCATCGCTCCACATCAGCCCCCAGGATGGGGTTTTTAAAAATCAATTGGGATAAATAAATCCCTGGCTCTGGGTGGGGAGAGGAGATTCTGGGAAGGCAGCAGGCTCCAAGGGGTGCAGCAGTGTGGGATATTTTAATTTAATTACATCTTTATCGCTTAATTAGCATCAACTGGCTTGTTGTGTTGTGCCTGTGGGGCTCAGCAGCCTGTCAGGATTTCTTGCCTTTCCAGGAATTCTCACTCCTCCTGTTCCCTCTCTCCCTGCAGAGGATGGCTCAGGAGAGTCTGGGGGTCTCGGGGGGGTGGTCAGCACCATCTCCAGCAGCAGGAGCCCCCTGCAGCCCCCTGATGCTGATGATGGGGAGCCCTTCACCACCTACTTTGACAGCAAGATCCCAATCCCCGAGGATGAGACGGTGAGTGGGAAAACCCCGCTGGAAAAATCTGCCTCAGACCCACCTGAGTCATTCCCACGGGCACCAGTTCCCCTTCCAGGCTGGACTGGAGATGGAGATTTGGGAGAGAAGTGGTGGGGGGGTCTCAGGGGCTGGGAGGGGTGACTGGGGGAGGGCTCTGCCGTGGGCTGGGGGATGTGGGCCTGTGTTAATGATTGATCCCATGGGATTTGGCTCCTGCTTGGAGCAGCCAAAGAGCAGGGAAAGGCCTTGTCATACCTCAGGGAGGGACCTGGGCTCTTTGTTCCCTTATCAGGCAGCAGGGGCTCTGGCTGGCCTCGTGACACTGTGACACTGTCACTGTCCCCTCATCCCCCCCAGGTCACTGGTGCCTCTTGCCCTTGGCTGGAGCCCCCAGCTCCAACTGCCAGCAGTGGAGGGCTCTGCTTCCCCCTGGGCTTCCATGAGCACGGCCTTGGCTGTCCCAAACCCTGAACCCCTCAGACATCCAGAGTTTGGGGTGGGATCAGGGAACAGGCAGGATTTTTCGGATGAGATTCGGGAATAATTTGGTTTTACAGCCCTGCAGAGTTTGGGGTGGGGTTAGGGCTGTGGCTGAGGCCGTGTCTGTGCTCAGGGAGGGAATTGACCCCGGTTGTCCCCGTTTCTGTCCCTTCCTGCAGCATTCCTGCTTCAGCTTCCGCAAGCTGTGGGCGTTCACGGGGCCGGGGTTCCTGATGAGCATCGCCTACCTGGACCCCGGCAACATCGAGTCTGACCTGCAGTCTGGGGCTGTGGCAGGCTTCAAGGTGGGTGCAGGGACCCACGGGGGCATCAACAACATCCCAGGGGGGGCTGGAACACCCCAGAGAGGAGGGGAGCAGGAAAATCTCGGATCCTGGCTCTGTGTCCCTTTGGATCCATCCCACGCCGGCTCTGAGCAGCAAAACCATCAATAATGTGGGTGTTCAACAGCCTGTGCTGCCCAGAGCTGTGGGATCTGGGGGGAGCTGGGGCTCCCTGTGTCCCCCCACCCACTGGTGTCCCCCTGTCCCTCAGCTGCTGTGGGTGCTGCTGCTGGCCACCATCATCGGGCTGCTGCTGCAGCGGCTGGCAGCACGGCTGGGGGTGGTCACCGGGCTGCACCTGGCTGAGGTCTGCAACCGCCAGTACCAGAAGGTGGGTGACACTCCCAGGGGGGCTGGGGAGGGTGGGTGACACTGTCAGGTGGGTTGGGAGAGGTGGGTGACACTCCCAGAGGGGCTGGGGTAGGTGGGTGACACTCCCCCAGGTGCTCAGGGGGGCTGG